GAGCCGGCCAATCCGCGCGGGGCTGCCCCGCATATATGCTGCGCCGGAGCGGGCGAGCTCGTCTAGAGCCCAGTGGAGCCTCGCGCCGGATCCTGAGGCCTCACTAGCGCTGCGGTCAGCACCTTCCCTGGATCGGCAAGCCCCGGAAGCCGGCTTTCTTTAAACCAGCGCTGTTTTTGTTTTTTCTCTCTTTCCTTGGGCTGCAGAAAGCCGGAAGATTTTATCTAGCTCAAACAAGGCTGCTGGTGTCCCTTTTTTTCTTTCCCACGAGGGTGTTTTTGGCAGCAATTGCATGAAATCCCAATGGTGTAGACCAGTGGCGATGGATCTAGGAGTTTACCAACTGAGACATTTTTCAATTTCTTTCTTGTCATCTTTGCTGGGGACTGAAAACGCTTCTGTGAGACTTGACAATAGGTAAATGTCAGCTGTGATAGTTTCTTTAAATTTACTCGTAAGATCCTTGTAATAATGCAGGTAAAAGCCCGGCGAATTCCTTTGTCCGTTGCTGAGAGGTTACCGTAACATAGATGTTGCGTTCTAAAATGCTCCGAGTTGCCGTGTTTTCGGGGTCTAGCCGGAGACCGGGCTTTCCCACATTATGTAATTCACCCTTTTGTGGCTCTCTTAAATAGGGAAATATCTGGATATTCATAAGAGGGTGGCTGGTATTTTCTGGAGAGTGACACATTGCACAGCTTTAAGGACTATTCAGAATATAATGCCAGTAACATCACAGAACGGGGAGACCCACTTTTATCTTGGATCAATAAGATAAATTCCATTTATCAGTGATCTTTTTTTCAATTCTCTTTTTCAGCTCCTCTGGTGCAAGTGTGGTAGCTATCGACAACAAAATCGAGCAAGCTATGGTATGTACTGATTAAAAATTGTTTGTACGGACTGTGGGCGCAGCACAAAAAGCGAGGAATCTTCAGATAAGACTGGAGAGCATCCCTTAGGTTCAGAGGACGTTCACGGCTCTTCATACATTTAGAAACGCTGGCACTATCTTCTGCCAGCGTGCAGCCACACGCCGCGGCTGCCAGGAACGGAGAAGGGGCCCTGATGGTATTGCACTGCTCCTTTCCTGGGCGGATTTCATGTAACGGCGGAATTTGTTCTGGGCGTCCCTTTTTGCTGGGAAGCCCTGGCCCAGTGTCTCTTTCGGTTGGTCGGGGTACATCTTTAGGGATGTGGCTTTACTAGGAATTCTAAGGTTTTACCAGGGAGCTGCAGAGAAAGGGGGCAGAAGTGGGGATCCCAGGGAAGGGCCCTCTAATGGTGCACAGACGGATCCCCAGATTTGCATGCTACCGCAAATGAAGGAGAATTGGCGAAAAGTTTTGTTTTCTCTGCCTGCGCCTGGATTTCTCCTTATTTTTTTATTTCCGCCTTGGCCATTCTTTGTTATTGGAGCGGCGCCTGTGGCTCTTCTCACGGGATTCTCTGCCCGCTGTTGCTAGGCAAACTCAACCTTTAATTCGGAGCTATAAATAACTTGGGCTCCTATTGGCTGCGATGGCTGCCCAGGTTTCTGTGATGTCAGCTTAATCACGAAGAGGGGGCAGCTGGGGGTGGAGGGAAGAAAATGCGGCAACTTGCTCTGTAGGAACTGGCTGCAGCTGGAGCCGAGGGAGGCGTCTCCGCGGACCTGGGAGGGACTTGGGGGTGGGGAGGCGGCCCTGGGCTGCGGGCCTGAGGTCCAGGCAGCCAGGCTCGGGAGCAGGCTTGGGGAATGCAAGGCCCCGGGCGAAGAAACCCTGGTGCCTTTTGCCATCTTCAATAGGAAACAGACTGTGTACATCCCTGGCTAGTGTCTGCCAAGGAGGCAGAGAATTTTTAAAAGCGTGATCACTTACTTACACATTAAACTTCAGTGTTTTATAGTTGTATTCAGATTTCTGCAAGTATCCTTTTAAAAACTTTAAGGACAGAACATGTAGCTATGCAGAGTAACTCTAAAAATTCAGAGTCCGGAAATAGTAAATTAAACTTTTTTCTTTCAGGATCTGGTGAAGAGCCATTTGATGTATGCAGTTAGAGAGGAGGTGGAGGTCCTTAAAGAGCAAATCAAAGAACTAATAGAGAAAAATTCCCAGTTGGAGCAGGAAAACAATCTGCTGAAGACACTCGCCAGTCCTGAGCAGCTCGCCCAGTTCCAGGCCCAGCTGCAGACTGGCTCCCCTCCTGCCACCTCACAGCCACAGGGGAGCACACAGCCCCCCGCCCAGCCTGCGTCCCAGGGCTCAGGACCAACTGCATAGGCAGATGTGTCCCCGTGGAACTGGCTGCTCCTATCTGATCTGAACAGACGGAGATGTACTAGGGAGAATCTACGCCCACAGTCACCGATTTCATTGCTTGCTGCAAAAGAGACGTGAGACTGATACACGCCATTATCTCTTTTTTCCAGTATTAAGCACTCCTAAGCTTTTGGGTTGAAGAAACTTAGCTGGGTGAATTAAAGGTTAATCAGAGAATTAGCTTGGATGTCCGGGTGCGGTTTGGCACATACCGGAGGAATGGTTTCATTGCTGAGGAGCCGAGTGCCTTCCATCCCTTCCCAGCTGACCACCCCATTTCCAAGAGTGCACTCTCATGCTTGCACATAGTTCACTGCGTGGGGTCAGGAAGCAGTGGGGCTCCTTACTGGACTTTGCTTTCTCCTCTCCTGCCACCATGAAGAACTTGAAAGGGAGGCAAGAGACAAATGAGGGAGATTGCAGTTTATCGTACAAACTGATGACTGTCACCCAAACACATTTTTAAAAAAGTACTGTGCCTCTTTTTGTGGAACGGCAGACAACACAAAGCATTGGTGAGAAAATGGTGATAGGTAGCTGGAATCTAGGCTGTCTTACTATGAAGATTGTTTTGCTTATTGTATATTTGTGTATGTAGTGTAACTATTTTGTACAGTAGAGGATTGTAACTACTATTTAGGCTGTACAGATTTGAAATTTACCTGTTTCATTGGCTGTTTGAAGAGGTGTGGATTGTCTTTTATATAGAGATCTATATGAAAACTACTATCTAATACAAACCACACCTAAAGAAATTTTAAGAATTTGGCACAGTTAGTCATTTGGTGTAATCTGAAATGTAGCTGCTGAATATCTAAAGTAAATCCCTGTTCTCTGAAGTTTTTTGATTGAGCTGGTTGAATACTTTGAAAAGTGATCAATTCTAACTAATGAATTGATTTCCCCATAGGATTCTGCATATTACCTGTATAGTAGTTATATGGATATGTTTCTGTGCATGTTTGGTACACAGTTGTAAGGTGTCCCTGTATTTAACTGTTGTACTTGTCAACTTTCAATAAAGCATATAAAATGTTGATAACCAAGTGTTTCTGTATTACAGTGTTAAGATAATGACAGTCATTTCCACAGCTGTACCGGCCACACTGCCTAACCTTTCCTGTAAGGTTAGGCAGTGTGGCCAGTACCACCCTGAAAGGAAGTGGAAGGGCTGCACAAAGTAGGGGTACTTGTGATTTGACTGTAGAAGTAAAGGAAGTCCACGCGGAATTGTTCTGTCAGGGAGAGGAGATGGGAGGAGACAGCTCGCTTTTAACTATTACGTGATGTAGATGAGTTGTTTCGCCCCTATGGGCCGAAGAGGACTAAAGATACTATCTTAGATTTCCCTGTGGCATTCAAGTTCTGGAAGTCCATGAAGATTGTAATTTTCCAATGTGTATTGAATAATCCTTATTCTGTGTATAATCCAAATAGCTCTAGAACCAGAAGATGGAAATTAAGAGAAGCTGATTTCCCCTACAAGAACTCCATTACTTTGGTTGAGAGGTCTTTCATAGGATGAAATGAGTTTCTAGTTCCTGTGCTAGTAGTTTGTTTTAGCCAAGTACACATATGCCAGGAGTTGCCTGTAGTAGATTTGAGGTGGGGCCTGATGATCAAGGTAGTCCCTCCCAGTTAAATTCTGTAAGACTGTCAAATAGGTCAAAGTTTAAAACATACTGGAGTCCAAAAACAAGTGGAGTGAGCCTGGGAGGACCTACCTGCTGTAGGTGCAATGTCAGTAAGCGAGTGGCAGGGTGGACTTGGCTCTGTAATCTCCCCAGCACCTCATCAATAGCCCTCTGCCAAATGGGAGTCAGGCATGTGCAAGCTCTATGCCTTATCTAAGTCCTTGCAGGACAAAGACTTAACTTTTCAAATCTTTCATTTCTCTAGTAGAGCTGGTGGCAGATTGATAGGTGCAGTGAACATCAGAACTTCCTGAAAAAAATTTAATGTGCCTCTTATAAAACGGAAGTATTGAAACTGAACTGCTGACCACCATAAGCTGGTGGCAGTGGGCATGAAGGTGTTTGGGAAGTTTGGAGAGGACTTGAAAAAATCATTATTGTATTAGATAACTTCAGCCTAAATAAAGGGATACATAGTAATTATATTTCCTTTAAAAAGAAAACTGTAGTGGCTAGAAATCCCTAGGCATTTCATCTTTTATGTTCTTAATGAAGTTCCTTGATACTGTAGGTGGTAGTTGTGGAATATTCAAGAAACCTCCATCACTTCTCCATTGTTTAATAGGCCTTTGAGTCTCTATGCTTAACGCTCATGAAATTTTGGTAGCTGAATATTGTATGTGAAGTAATGATTTATTAAAATCAAAAGATTTTTTATACATGTTCCTTATTTTAGTAATTATTAAACATGCTTTTAAGTGGTTGACACATTTAAGCACGTTTAGTGATTTGAAAAGGCAGTTTGCTCCTTACAGACCTGACTAAGCCTTGTCAGCCTGTGGATTATTACATAATTAATTATATCACTTTTGTTCTATGGAGCAGGAACAGTTTATAAAGGGACTGGAATGTTGTAGGAGCCCTGATGTTCATGACATCAGCAACTACAAGACAGACTGCTGTTCAGTGAAGGAGAACCAGAAACATGATTTTAATGAATGTTGGCTTTCTAGTTCACATTAACAATGTTTACAGTTCAGTAACTTTTTTTTTTGCATACTTTAAAACAGCAAAAATTGACTTCTCAATGTGATGAATGTCATACCAGAATCAGTTTTAACTTTACACAAGGCATATATATAGAAGTTCATTATAATTGAAATTAGAAATGAAATGAATTTCAAATGCAAACACTACTGGCGCTCATGTTACATAAGTAGTTGAAGCTGTTACGGCCTGCCGACAGGACTGCTTTTAGATGTCAACTTCAGATCTGTTCCACCAGCAATGACAGTATTAAGATTAGAAATAGGGGCAGAAAAAAATGAAGCTTTCTCTTCCTTTTAGATAAAATGGCTGGGAAATGGAGGAGTACCATTAGAACACGGAAGCCGATGGGGCAGTGAGGTCCCTGAGCTGGCAGTTATGTGGGCGAAATCTGGGGCCGGGTGTGAGGTTCCTGGCTTCCTGGCCAGTGCAGGCCCTACTGGAACCGGCCGCCTGACCTTTGGATGAGGAATGGAACCCTTCAGACCTGCTTCCCATTTGTAAACTAAAGGTCACAAGGAATCTGTCCTGCCTTGGATGCTACAATGCTCCATGTCCCACAATTACTTAATTTTATTCCTCTGACCTTTGGAGGAGGGATATATGTGTGATGTGTGTGTTTGTTCACTTAACTTCTTGGACCAAAATTAATTTGGTTTTAATCCTGGCTCTGCAGTTACTAGCTCAGTGATCTCAGGCAAGTTACTTGCTGGCGTCTGTTTCCTCATGCTTAAATACCTTCACAAGGGTATTGGAAGGCTAATGCTGGAAGGCAGTAGGCCCCAAGATGCTTTTGGAGTAACTCTTCAAAGAGTGTTAGCCTCCTATTATTTTGAATGATATGTTTGTGTGTGATTTTATATTTTTCATAGGAATAAAGTTATGCCAGCCTCATCAGATATAGCATCTGATACTAGGGGCTGTTTAAACGTTACTATGAAAGCACAAATAGGAAGAAAGAAAAATGTCCTTTAGAATATGGACAGAAAAGTACCATTCTAAGAAATAATACCAAATGACAGCTGATTCACTGATGTGAATTAAGGAAATTGGAAACTGTTTGAAAATGATATTGGCAGAAGTAAATGATTTCAGATGGGGAAAATATATCTTAAATTATTTCATTATGGAGAAAGTCTCTATGTAAAGCAGTGCTGCAGTCTTGAAGCCACTGAGATTTGTAATGGGGCCCTGCCCACAGGGCTACTATTGAACCCAGGACCTCATGCATGTTAGGCAAGCATTTAGATCTGAGCTACACCCTTAGGTCAGGATCTGTGCTCTAAATCATGTATTTCAGACACCAATGTCTACCAGCTATGACAGATGACAGGGGTGTTCCTTGTGTGAGTGAGGGTAAGGCAGTAGGATGTATAGTGACTGGCAGTTGGAGAGCAGAGGCTCCATCAGGGACAGGGCAGCTACCCCTAGGCTCCATCCAGTTGCTGCCATGTGGGAATTCAAACATCATGTTGCCAGAATTTCCAGTTTTTCAAGATCTGGAATTTTAGGGCTCTACCTGGAAATTGCTGTCTTCTAGATGCTGTGCAGACCAAGTGGAAGCACACCTACTACGCAGATAAACCTACATGCCTCACGCTGTTGTGCCTGCTTTCTATCTTGTGCAGATCTCAAGGACCAGCCTTCTGCCCTGGGCAGCAGCTCAAAGCAAGACGAATCCGAAAAACATTTTTGATGAGAGAAAGTGGGTACAGGCTACCTGCCACCTTGTGTGTTTATTGAATATCTTCTACACGGTGGAGGCAAATACAGTGAATAAGCCACAGTCCCTGTCCTCAAGGAGCGCTCACCCAGCTGCCTTTAAGATAAATGAGGGCACTTGTTTACTGGCACAATTTGCCTTCTGTGATACAATATCTGAATTATTTATTGTTCCTTCTCTGGTGAATCTGGCAAAAAAATATTTCTGGGAATTCTCTTAAGAGCTCTTGTTAACTGGGTAGCACTTCCTTGTGGTAGTATGATCTTAGCACTGCATTCATGATAAAGCTGACTCACAGTGCAGGCACCAAGACTGTTTGCAAGTGGGTGTGCTACAAGGTTGCATCACGCCTCAGATTTCCACCACATCATATTTTGATGAAAATAATCTGCCCCATTGTTGCGTAAGTATATTCATCTCATGCCCTGATACGTGGTTTATAGTCATTTAAACTAGAAGATCAAAAAAACAGAAGATTTAGAGTCCTTCCTTGAGCAAGAGTATGACGGAGGCTTTCGGGGTGACCAACTATACTGGTTTGCCCAGGAATTTAGGGTATTCCCAGAAAGTAGGACTTTCACTGTTAAAAGCAGGTAAGTCCAAGGTTCAATAAATAGATGAGCACTGAAGTGACAAAACACTCCCAAGTTAGCCTGTAAGAAAACCGTTCCCAATGATCTGCTATGTGCTTTCCCTTTCCCTCCTGGGATGGAGAAGAACTGGTGACTGTGGAGATATCACAGCCTTTCCAACTTGGGATCCAGAATGGCTAAAGTGGAGTGTAATCCTCCACTAACCCAAATCCAACAGCACAGTTTCATGAGCAAGAGGGTTCCACCACTAGGCATTTTAGAACCTTCTCCTAAGCGGCAAACCTTGGCTAATATGGAAATGAGTACAGTACGTTGAAAGTGGGAGAGCTGCTGTCTGACTACCTACATCCTACGGTATTGACAGTGATGGTGGTAGTGATGAAACTGTTGAAGCCTAGAGAGGTTGAATTCCACACTGTGAAGCAACAAAACATTTTCTAAAACTCACCTGCAATAAGGTGGCCCACGTGCCTCGTGTGTAACTGAGGAGCCAGAATATGGAGAGCCGTTACTCCTCACTCCTCAGCAGGAAACTCCACTGGGTTACCTTTCCTGGGTTTCTTGAGAGAAAAGTGATCTCAGGAAAAAATCAATTTTAAATATAGAGGAAAAGGGAAACATGCAAAAATTTGGGGCTTTGTAGCCATGGAAAAACCTATTGCTTCTGGACCCCAAAGAATTGAAAATAAGACTAAAAAATCAGTAAAGGCCCATTAAACTTTTCAATTAGGCAGGGTGCTTCGTTAGCAAAGATCAGACAAAGGGTATGACTCCGTGCAGGCCTTTTGTTTTCTATGATTTCTAAGTGGTCACTTCTGCTTCGGGAAAGTCAAGAGAGAGGAAATAATAAAAATTAAGCATGTGCAGAAAAATGTTTCAGCTCCTGCTACTGACACACTGAATTGATTATAAACAGAAAAGGGAGACTTCTCCTAGGTTTTTGAGAAACTTTTACTGCCAAGGAAAACACAAGCCAGTCCAGACTTAAAAACAACAAAACTTTGTTGGAACCTTTGAAAAGTGTTCAGGCCCCAAACGTTCAAGA